CTGATCTCCCAGAGTATCAGAGAATCACGGAATATCCTGATCTGGAAGGACCCACCAGCACGGTCCTGCTCCTGGACCTGTACAGATACCCAAACAATCCCACCCTGAGCATCCCTGAGTTGGGTTGGAGCCATGAACATTCCCTGGGGAGCCTGTCCAGTGCCTGACCACCCTCTGGATGAAAAACCTTTCCCTAATATCCATTCTAAACCTTCCCTGAGGCCCTCTCTCCACTGGGGACAGCACTGTCTCCAATCCTGCCTGCTCCCTTCCCAGGAAGCCGCCGGCCGGTGTTGCCACCACCGCTGCAGTGGCCCTTGGGCACAGCATTGCCGGCAGCAGCCGGGCTGCTCTTGGCTGACAGCGATCCCACGGCACATCCCTGCCACCGCTGAGGTCCGGGCGGTGGGAGATGGATGCGTGATTGATGGGGCGCCCGCGATACAGCACGAGCGCTCCTTATCTACGCCTCGCCGCTGGCTCTGTGCTGCTCCCAGGCTTTATGGCATCACTGTCGCTTGGCTTGCCTTTTTTTTCCCACCCTGCTTGGTTTTTCCCACCAGGGCATCTGTTTCACCTGCAGGATTTGTGGAGTTGGGCGAAGCACCCCAGGCAAAAGTCATCGTCTGTAAGCGTGAATGGGCACAGGGGAGTTGGAGTAGATGCTTTCCATGTCAGGGTGCTGGGAGCTAAATCCATCCAGAGTAACTTCCTGAGGGATTCCAAGCTCAACACTGCAGCGGCAAATTCCATCCAAAAAGTTGGGTGTGATGGCAGAACCAAGGTTGGCTGTGGAGACAGGGGAAGAGGGGAGGAGAAAACCAGTTCAAGTGGGAATGTAATTGGTGTCACTGGGGCATCCTCCTGCTTCCTCTGCTTCCCTAGGAACATGGGCCTCCACTTGGAAATGCTGGGAAACCCACCCTGCTCTGCCAGGCAGGTGAGATGAAGCCAAGGCCACAGTGTCCCCATGGCGTCCCCAAAATTGCTGTTGTCACAGGACCCCCACAGCCCACACATCCTCCCATGGACAAGCACTGGTGTCCAAGCTGGTGTCCCGACCTGGGGCTGCTGTGTCCAGCAGCAGCTCCGACCACCTCCTGCTTCTGCTCCACCCCAGGGCAATGGCCGGGAAAAAGCAGAATAATGTGAAATGAAGTTCAATTCTATTCTCTATTTTCCAAAGGGAGGAGTGAGTACTAGCTTCCAGCTGAAACCTGGCAATCCCAGTCTCCCTCTGCACAGGTTTTCTCCGTCCCTGCCCTGTTCCAGGTGCCAGGAGCAGGAGCTGGAGTGAGCTGCAGCAGATTGCGCTGTGTGCTCAGCCCGGGGACAGCCCGTGGCCATCTGTCACCCCCAGGTGTGTGCCCGGCCCGGTGTAGGGACAGGGCTCAGGCTCCTCAAACACACCAGGGTTGTAAAGCAGGGTGTGGGGGCATGGGGGTACTCTCCCAGCCCCTCCACCTGCTCCTGTCTCCTTCCTCACATTCCCTGCTCTGGCGAACTGAGCATTTTTTTCATTCCTTCTGCAAACCAGGCTGGAATAAATAACTCAGCCCAGGCTTCCCAGTTCTTGCTCTTCCCTGCCATCTCCCAGTGCTGCCTTCCCAAACTCTGTGCTTGGGGCACTCTGGATTCCTTCACTTTTGGGGAAGGGCTGTGGGTGACAAGTGGAAATACATCCCTTCAGCCAGGGAATTTTGGAGGTTTTTCACCCCACCTGGGCATTCCAAGCCCAGAGCTCCCAGGCTGCTCCCAATCCTGGGACACAAAGAGGTGCCAGCAGACTCTGCTCCAGAGGAGCTGAGTGACTGCAAATACTTGGAAGTAAGCGTCCTGTCATGAGGTGGAGCCCATCCCAACTTCCCCAGACTGGAGTCCAGACCTCCTACCTTCACACCAACCCCTCCAGAAGATTCCACACGGGATGTCTAAGGAGCAGAAAGGACTAAATTTCCAAGGCTGGGTGAAACCCGCTTCAGTCTCTATTCCCTGGGCCTACTGGTTTGGTTCCAGCAGCTCTGGGGCATGGTGAGATCCATGCACCAGGTTCCAAAATACGCTCAAAGCAAAAATAATGAATAAAAATGGGTCTATTAATTAAATAAGGAGTTCTTATTCATAACATAGGAACTGGTTTACAGCACAGCCCAGTTTTACAGCACAGTCTGAGCCAACTGTCCCAAGGAATGCCTGTGGGGGACCAAATGCAGCTCCTGCTCCCTTGCCTTTTACTGCACTTTGCCTCCTTCCTGGATGAGGGGAGACAGGAGCTGGAGCTGGTTTATAACCAAACTTACCGAGTTCCAATCCCTCTGTGCAGCCTCCCCTAGGAATGGAGCGAGACACGGCCTGGATATCCAGCCTGAATTTCCTGCTGTGAAAGCAAAGACCCTGCAGATCTATGCAAATGAAAATTCTTTATGCAAACAAATATGTCTGCAAATCACCATCATTTGATTGATATTTTTATGTGGGTGACATAAAATTATATAATTATTTTCTCCCCTCAGTTTCACTCCCTTGCTCAACAATCTGGGCACTTTATCCAAACAAAACAAGCTTGGCAAAGTTATTAATTGCCTGGAATGAGACCTTTATTGATTGGTGTGGGGATCAATCACTTTATCTGCGGGCAGTTCTGCTGGAGCTGCCTGTGACCAGGGACTTTCACACAGGACTCCAAGGTCTTTCCAGGAACGGGGCAGGTGCTGGGGAAGATCCGGGTCAGATGGGAAGGAAAACGGGCTCTGTCGATTTCCCTCTGCCCCCAGCAGCCAGTGGTGTTTGCATGTCATCCACAAAGCCTTTGAAAGGGACATAGGATGCCCAGGAAGCCCTCGTGGCCAGCTGGGAGCTCTCCATCCTCTGTGGAATCCCAGTGGGACAGTATCTTTGGCAGGAGCCTCCTGCAACCGGGGACCGCTGGGAAGCGGCCGCGGCACCAGGCTCAAGATGTTTGGAAAACGCTCTCGGGCACGTGGAGTGTTTTTTGGGGTTGTCCAGGAGCTGGGCTCGATGAGCCGCGACTCAGGATATTTCCAGCATTCCATGACCGCTCTTCATCCTTCAGAGAAGTCGGGCAGCACCACCTCTGTCACCAACTCCATCACCTTCTCTTTGCCTCCCTTCCAAATAACAGTAATTTTAAAATGATGCTAAAACCCAAAAAGGACCCCAGAAAGGGGGACAGGAGAGGGGACAGCTGCCGGAGGTGGCCGTGGCAGCGCAGCTCGGATCTCCCGCACACCGGCGCTATCGGCGGCCGGATCAGCCGCGTATCTAATGTAAACGAGCCTCCCCACATCAATAACGTGCCACATCTGGCTGTTTGGCTGCGCTGCACCCTGGCTACCGAGCCATCCGCGCACGGAGAGCGGGCGGCCGGACCGGCCCAGGCGGGGGGTGCGCACAGCGGGGCTGTGGGCGGAGGGGGGGGCCAGCGAGGGCCGCAGCCAGCAGCTCCTCTGGGGAAGGGGGGCCGGGGGGAGGGCTCTGCCCCCCGGAGGGAGAGAGGGGCCGGCTTAGCCTTAAAAGAGCCACCCAGGAACCGGCGTGTTTGTGCTTCTTCCCAATTTATGGCCGCGGAGCATATGGCCGGTGTTCCGCCCGGCGGCAGCCGCCGGGGACGGCAGCGAGCGGCGCGGGGGATGTGAGGCCGAAGGGACGAGGAGCGGCCCCAGCACACGGCGGAGACAATGCGGGAGGCGGGGGGCCGCCGCCGGGGCCCCCCCTCCTAGGGACCCCCCGCCTCGGGACCCCCAGCCAGGTGAGCCCCGGGAGGCGCCGGGGGGACGCTCCCGCGCAGGGACCCCTGCCCGGGTGGCTCCCCGGGGGACAGCGGAGGGACACGGCCGCCGAGGGACCCCCGCCCAGGTGAGCGCCGGAGGGTGGCGAGGGGCTCCCCACGCACAGGGACCCACCCAGGTGAGCCCCGACAGGGAGCGGGAGGACCCCAGGCTGGAGCCCCCGGCCCGTGAGCCCCGAGGGCAGAGGGGACAGGGGGGTCACCAGGGCCGGGAGCAGCAGGTGGGAAGGAGCTTTGCGGGGCGAGGAGGTCCGCGCAGGTAGGAGCCGGTTCTGAGCGCCGAGGGGGCGCGGCCCCGGCCCCGACGGCGCGGCTGACACACGGCCACGGCCACGGGTGGCAGCGAGGCCGGGGCAGCGCGGGGCAGGGGAGCCTGGGGCGCTCCCTCCTGCCCCGGCCGTGGGACACTTCTCAGCCGCGACGGCAGAGTCCGCCAGAGGACCGGGAATGACCGGGACTGTCCCCGGCCCCGGCGATGCCCCCTCCTCCTTCACCCCTTCCCTGCCCGTGCCACGCGTGTGTCCCCGGCTCGGCCCCGGTTTTTGGAGCCGAGCCCACGCGGGTGGGCCCGTCCTCACCCAGTCCTGGTCCCCCCCGAGCTGCGCGGGGCGTGCGGGCACCGGGGACTGCCTCCGAGGCTCCCCGCACCCCCCGCTCGCACACGCAGCGGCGGTGACCTGGGCGCGGAGCCCTCAGCGGAGTGCCAAGTGAATTCAGATAAGGGAATAAATCCCGCCGCGCTCCTTTCGCCCCGGGGCCAGCGGGCCGGCATTTCCAGGCCGAGGAGGAAAAAATAATTTCTGACAAAGCTTAATCTCGTTGGGACACGTTTAATCATTGGAGACGGGGACGGGCAGTGCCGGGGGGCTCCGGGGGGGGGCACCCCCGTTTGTCTGGCGAATAAACCGGTTTAGAATAGACTGGAAAGGGGAAGGGAGCCCCGGGCCAGGCTTACAGCTCCCCCTGAGCGCAGGGGAGGGGAATTAAGTAAGACAAAATGTGGGTCGGGAGGCTGCGGGCTCCCGGCTTTGTGCCCGTACCCCACTGTCTCCATCACTATGGGCAATAATTTTCAAAATCTCATTAAAGTGCATTTATCAAAGCCCTAACATGTGCCCTCCGGCTCTGCCATAACCCCGCCGGACCCCGGAGAGCGGGGGGTGGGGGGGGGTGGGCGAATGGGGGGGTGGGGAGGAGGGAGATCCCAATTTCTATGACAATTCGCCACCTCGGGAGCTTGGCTGCGGGGCAGATCCACATCTACAGATTTATAAGGAATATCGGTGAATTGGAAGGATTTCTCCGCCTTTGAAGCTTCGTGGGGAAGGAGATAGAGCAATCGTGAGAATAGGGAAGCTCATTTAGATTCCTATGTCCTGGAGAAGAATTAATTGTCTGCTGGAAAAAAAAGCAGGCCGGCGCCGGGATTTTGGGGGGCGGCGGGGGCTTTCTCTGGAGCTTCCATAGGGATTGCTGCTGCTGACTCCCTTCCTGCGGAGCGATCTTCCCCCTTTCCCCCCCCCCCTTTTCTTTCCCTCAAAACATCCTTAACGCCTTTGCTAATGCCATTTTTTCCAGCCAGGAAACGAGCCGGGAATTTCAGCCCGCAGAATCTCCGTTACAATTAAGTTCCTGTAAGTGCCGGAGGATTCGGGAGGGTCCGGTTCCCCTTGAATTTAGAAAATACGATTTTTTTCTTGATGGGTCTGTCTCACTCCCTGACCTGGCTGCCGGTGTGCGAGGCAATCTCGTGGCGTGGGCTCCGTGCCCACGGCCTGGTGTGGCCGGTCCCCTCCGAGCCGGAGCCACTGCTGACTGCAGCAGCAGCAGCAGAATATCCTCTCCAACGCTGGAAATTGCGGTTTAAAGTCCTCCGTGCATGCGTCTCGGGGGCGGGATGTAATTTCATTGCGATCGTTTTACTCTGATTTTTAAATTTTTGCTTTATATTTTTACGGCCGGGGAGAGCTGTCCCCTTTCGTGTGGCGACTCTGCTTCTCTTCTCCACACTTTAAAACAAAGAGGGTGTTACTTACAGGGATGCTCCCGAGGTGAAGCTCCTCACGACAATTATCAGGACACGGACTGCTCTTCCCTTTCCCCATTCATTCCAAGTGGATCTCATTCTAGGAGATAAAATCAACCTGTTCCTTAACAAAGGCTTTGTGTGGGCTCCGCTAATCCGGGCCGAGCGGCAAGGTGCAGCCCCGCTCCGTTTGTTTATTTGCGAGCTGGAGGGAAGGGAAGACAAGGTCTCGCATCTTTGGCTCCATCAAACAATAAATTGATCCACTTGTCGGCCGCTCCTGGAACCGCGGAGCGGGAATGGGAATGGAGACGGGCTCGGTGCGGGTAGGGAGGGGAGGGAGAGCAGCAGGCTTCAGCCCAACACCCTTTCCTACATTTCTCCCTGTAACATGTGTCATTATACTCGGTAATACCACACTGTATTATAAGCGTGCGTGGGATCCCTCTCGGCGGAGAAGGGAATGGAGTTGGGCGCCGCTGGCTCAGAGCAGAGGGGGACCCCCGACGCCGTGCGGGGAGCTTGAGCCTCGGGCCGCGGCCGGGAGGAGAAAGGCGAGGACACCGCTTAAAACCAGCCCCACGGGCTGCCCGCGGCGTGGCGAGAGCCCGTCGCGCCCGTTGGCATCCGCGGCTGCCGGGCCCACGCGTGACTGCTCCAGAGGCCTCAATCCCCCTCCTGTCCCCAGGGACCGTCCCTTCCCCGATTCTAGAAAGTAGAAAAATCAGCTTTAACCTCACGGGCGAGGGGCAGGAGGAGGGATCACCCGTGAATCGGTCCCCGTGGGCAGAGCCGCTTGTCCCCGAGAGCCGCCACTCAGCCCCGCCACGCGCTCGCGGCCCTCCTGCCCCAGCCCCCCCGGCCTTGTCACTGCCTGTCCCAGCGCTGGAGCATCCCGGCCACGCGTGGGACCAGCCGGAGGGCACGGGGGGCTCGGGGCGGGCGCCCCGAGGGTGCTGGGGGGGAACGAGACGCCATGGCGGCCGGGGGACACCCCCCTGGCTCTGTCGCGACAGCCGCAGCCTTGCCGTCGGGTTTTCAACCCACGCAGCGCGACCGCGGTGCGGGGCAGTGTGCCGGCCTCGCGACCCCTCCTGACGTCAAGGGGCCCGCGCGGCTCTGACGTCACACCCCCGCCGGTGACGTCACGGTGTCCCGGGCCGTCTCCGCGGTGTGCAGCGAGGTCCGCGTTTGGGGAGGGGGCCGCGACCCCTGGGGCTGTGTCCGGCCTCCTCCCCCAGGCCCCACGCCGCCAGCGCTCTGCGGGACGCTCTGCCCGTGCCGTGGCTTCAGATCGGGGTGTGGGACTGTTTATCGTCATGATTATTATTGTTATTGTTATTATTATTACTATTATTGCTATTATTATTATTATTACTGCTACTAAACGCTGACAGCCCCGTGGCGGACGGCCCACGTTGGCTGCCCCGGGGATGCTCTGCCCTTCCCTCCCCGGGCTTGGCTTCTGTCGGGGTTCTCCGTCCCGCTGCTATCGCGGTTATCGCCGTTGTCCCTGCTCTTTTTTCTCCTCGGCGGAATTAAACCCCATCCGAGCCGGGGTGGGGGGCACCTAAATCCATCGGTAACTCTAAGATTCAGTGAGAATTGGCGGTATCGGCGCGGGCGCGGGGCAGAGGAGCGGGCGGGGGCCGGCCCGAAGGGGTTCCCTCGATATCGAGGAGGACTCCGCAATGGATGAAGAGATAGCCATTGAGTGTGGTTGAATACCATGACAACTAGGAACAACCTCAGATTTATTCCCAACAGTTAGGGCGCGCTGAAAGAGGGCGTCAATCACGTATTATTTCGCCACTGAAATAAATGCAAAAACTGCGCCGAGACAAAGGGTTCCAACAGGAGCCGGACATTTGTCTACATTGCGGACATTGTCCCCAGCTTAGCCGTCGGGTTGTATTTGTGTTTGTGCGGGGGCCGACCACCCAGGATGCGCGCTGGGGCTCGCTTTAAAAAAAAAAAAAATCCCTGGGCATTGTCAGCCACATCACATACTTTATGGGAGGGAGCCTGGGGGCTGGGGGCTGGGGCAGGAAAAGTGGGGGGAGCGGCGAGGCAGAGGATGGGAAGGTGCGAATCCATTGATGGGCGCGGAGGAGGAAGCCTGAGGCGACGTCTCCCCAGCGCTGCCGGCGGCGTTGCGGCTCCTTCCCCCCAGGAAGGGAAACTCGGGCAACTTTTCCTGTCCAGACATGAGGGGGGCGGGGGGGAGCCCCATCCCAGGTTGTCCAAACCCCGTGCCCCGCATCGCCCCGCGCATCTCCATCGCCCTCGCGCTCCAGCCTGGCACGGGCGGGGCTCGGGGAAGACAAGGGATGGAAAACAGAGAAAGGGGAAAAGAATGGGAAAAGGAAAGAGAGGAATGAAAGAGAGGAATGAAAGAGAGGAAGGAGGGAGGGAGGGAGGGAGGGAGGGAGGGAGGGAAGGAAGGAAGGAAGGAAGGAAGGAAGGAAGGAAGGAAGGAAGGAAGGAAGGAAGGAAGGAAGGAAGGAAGGAAGGAAGGAAGGAAGGAAGGAAGGGAGGAAGGGAGGAAGGGAGGAAGGGAGGAAGGGAGGAAGGGAGGAAGGGAGGAAGGGAGGAAGGGAGGAAGGGAGGAAGGGAGGAAGGGAGGAAGGGAGGAAGGGAGGAAGGGAGGAAGGGAGGAAGGGAGGAAGGGAGGAAGGGAGGAAGGGAGGAAGGGAGGAAGGGAGGAAGGGAGGAAGGGAGGAAGGGAGGAAGGGAGGAAGGGAGGAAGGGAGGAAGGGAGGAAGGAAGGAAGGAAGGAAGGAAGGAAGGAAGGAAGGAAGGAAGGAAGGAAGGAAGGAAGGAAGGAAGGAAGGAAGGAAGGAAGGAAGGAAGGAAGGAAGGAAGGAAGGAAGGAAGGAAGGAAGGAAGGAAGGAAGGAAGGAAGGAATGGAAGGAGGGAGGGAAAGGGAAAACGATCCAGATCCTGCCCCATGAGTGTGTACACGGCCAATGCTTCTCGGCGGGTGCAGAGAACAGGACGAAGGAAGAAGGGAAATTAAAATAAAAGTTGGTGGCAGACAGAGAGAAGTGTGTGTGTGTGGGGGTCGCTGCATCCTGCAGCAGGCCAGGCGAGCCCCCAGAGCTTCTCCGCGGGACCCGCGGCCGGGCATGCTGCGGGCTCCGCGGAGCCGGGGCCAAGTGCGGCTGTGTGCGAGCGTGGTGACACCTGGGGTGCTGGCCTTCCCTTGGAAAGGAACCCCTTCTTTGCCTCTCTCCGTCCTTTCCCATGTCCTGAGAAAGAAAGAAAGAAAGAGAGAAAGAAAGAGAGAAAGAAAGAGAGAAAGAAAGAGAGAAAGAAAGAGAGAAAGAAAGAGAGAAAGAAAGAGAGAAAGAAAGAGAGAAAGAAAGAGAGAAAGAGAGAAAGAGAGAAAGAGAGAAAGAGAGAAAGAGAGAAAGAGAGAAAGAGAGAAAGAGAGAAAGAGAGAAAGAGAGAAAGAGAGAAAGAGAGAAAGAGAGAAAGAGAGAGAGAGAGAGAGAGAGAAAGAGAGAAAGAGAGAAAGAGAGAAAGAGAGAAAGAAAGAAAGAAAGAAAGAAAGAAAGAAAGAAAGAAAGAAAGAAAGAAAGAAAGAAAGAAAGAAAGAAAGAAAGAAAGAAAGAAAGAAAGAAAGAAAGAGAAAGAAAGAAAATAGATGGAAAAAAAAAATTCAGTCTTGTATGAGTCCATCGGGTTGCAGCCCATCGAATTATCCCAACGGGCTGGATTCATTCCCCTGGAAGAAGGTGGCAAAATCAATGAGACCTCTTCAAATAAGCACACACTCCCCCCCTCCCTAATAATCACCTCCCGGATCTCGCCGGGTCGCGCCTGACGATCGCGTTTTGCAAGTTCGCTTAATTTCGGAGCAAACTAGAATCAATTACTCGCTGTTTAATTTCCAGCGCTCATCCCTAAGCCCCAACCAAAATATTGACCTAGGCGGGTTAGATAAGTTGGGCTTTTGCCATCTGAGCCGCTCCGGTCCCAAGTGGGGCAGGCAGCGTGGGGCGCGCAGGCTGAGCGACTGTGAGAACAGGCCCCCTCGCAAAATTTTTTTTTTTTTTGTCCCCTCGGTCGGAGGAAAACCCGGGTGGAAAATACACTTTGGAGCGTCCGGAGCGTCGGGCTGGTGCGGAGCTCTTTGTATGTAAATAGTGTCCTTAAAAAGAGCTGGGAAGTCGCCCCCTCCCTCCCTCTCTCCCTCCCTCCACCCCTCGCCCCCTCCCTCCCCCCCGGCGCCGCCGCCCGCGCCCCCCGCGCCGAGGACCCTCCCCGCGCCGGTAATTAATTGACACGTTATACCACTCATCACCAATGGTGGAAGCTCGGAGCTCGCCCAAAACCCGCAATTTCACATCTGCAAACACTGTCTTCATCCACTTGACTTCCAAGACCCGCCCACACGTGGCCAACCTTTCCTGGGTTTAATGTAGGTTTTTTTTCTCCCTCCTCTCGGCAGGTTCATGTGTGGGGACCAGCCTTATATGGACTCCTCGCTCCAGCAATGGCTCGGGATTTTCCAGCGGCAGGCGCGGGTTCGGCGTGGCTGAACAAGATCCAGAAGTGATTTCTATTTTTTTTTTTTTTTTTTTTTTTTTTTTTGGCGTCTCTTCCCCCTTTTTCCCTGGAGTTACAAACTATTCCCGAAACCAGCTGCTGCTCCCGCTCTCGAAATTTTCCCCCGTGGCAGAACAACTACCACCGCAGAGACCCGTCGCTGCGGCCGCTTCTCCCGCACAAATCCCGCCGCTTATTTTTCTATAAATCCATATTATTATTCTAATTTTTTTTTCCTTCTCCACGCGTGCCGTGCCCCCCCTCCCTTCCCGTGTCCCTGCGCAGTGTCGTTGTCGCCTCTCGGCGTGTGCGTGCCCAGCCGTGACCCGGCGGCTCGGCCAAGCTGCGGCTCCAACTTTCCCAGGCGGAATTTGGCCGGAACATGTCTCTGACCAACACAAAGACGGGCTTCTCGGTGAAGGACATTTTGGACCTCCCTGACACCAACGATGAGGACGGCTCGGCGGAGGGCGGCGAGGAGGAGAGCGAGGCGCCCGAGCCGCCCAGGAAAGCGGGAGTTTTGGGACAAAACCCCTTGGACACTGTTCCGACGCTGCCTTTGAAGAGTCCTTTCTATGATAACAGCGATAATCCCTACACGCGCTGGCTGGCGAGCGCCGAGGGCATCCAGTACTCCCGTGAGTGGCCGGGGGACGGGGCAACGGAGACTGGGGGCCATGGGGGGCGATGGGGGAGGGATGCGGCTGGGGTGGGGGGACTTGCAGCTCGTCCCGGCTGGGGACGGGGCAGCGCTGCTTCCAGTTGGGAGCTGGGGAGCCATGGATGGATGGATGGATGGATGGATGGATGGATGGATGGGGGGTTTACCTCTCTCCACGGCTGGCCTCCATCGCACCACGGCCGGGCGGCGGGAGGGATGCGGGGGGCGGCGGAGGGGCTCCCCCCCGGCCCGTCCCCCTCCGCTGACCGGGCGCGTCTTGTCCCCAGTGCACGGGCTGGCGGCCGGCGGCGGCGGCCAGGACCCCTCTGCCAAGTCCCCGGAGCCGTCGGCCGACGAGTCGCCCGACAACGAGAAGGAAGCGGTGGGCGGCGGGGATGCGGGCAAGAAGAGGAAGAGGAGGGTGCTCTTCTCCAAGGCGCAGACCTACGAGCTGGAGCGGCGGTTCCGGCAGCAGCGGTACCTGTCGGCGCCGGAGCGGGAGCACCTGGCCAGCCTGATCCGCCTCACCCCCACGCAGGTGAAGATCTGGTTCCAGAATCACCGCTACAAGATGAAGCGGGCGCGGGCCGAGAAAGGTATGGAAGTGACTCCTCTTCCCTCGCCGCGGCGGGTGGCCGTGCCGGTGCTAGTCAGGGACGGCAAGCCCTGCCACACGCTCAAAGCCCAGGACTTGGCAGCCGCGACGTTCCAGGCAGGCATCCCGTTCTCGGCGTACAGCGCGCAGTCCCTGCAGCAGCACATGCAGTACAACGCGCAGTACAGCGCGGCCGGCAGCCCCCAGTACCCCTCAGCGCACCACTTGGTACAGGCGCAGCAATGGACTTGGTGAGGGCTCGCCCCGAAAACGGAGGAAAACACAGAAATAACAGGCAAAAACCGAGAAAGAGAGAGAGAGAGAGAGAGAGAGAAGGAGACAGACTGATGCTCCAAAAAAAAAAAAAAAAAAAAAAAAAAAAAATCGAAACTGCGGGGGAAGGAATGGCGAGGGAAACGCTATTATTATTATTATTATTATTATTATTGCTATTATTATTATTGCTATTATTATTATTATTATGGGTTCTTTCCCTCTGCCGTTTCTTTTCCCCTCCATTTTTTTGGGGGGTTCGGTTTCATTTCGGGGGGAGGCGGGGGGTAAGGGAAGGGAGGTGTTTTTTGTGCGTCATTGTTTACAGAATTTTTTTGCGCCATTCAAAGTGGTCCTGTCTACCTACAAATAAAATAAAAGAGGAAAAGGGGAGGGCGGGAGATCGTCAGAATTACAGAAAAAAAAAAAAAGAAAAAAAAAGAAAAAAAAAGAAAATTAAAAAAAAGGAAAAAAATAAAGAATAAAATCCCCCCGCTGCTCCTGTGATTTTGTGAGGAACGAGAGTGCGGCCGCCGCGCAGGGTCCCCCCAAAAGGGGAGCTCCGGTGCTGTCCTTCGAGAGCAATTTGCGGCCCCGACAGCTGTTAGCGGGGGTGTTTTTGCACCTTGTCGCCGTCGTTGTCGCTGCCGTGAGCCGCGGCCGGGGCTCTCCGTTCCCTCTCTCCGATTTGGGAGTCACCTTAACCATTCCCGAGCGGAGGAAAAAGGCCCACGGACGCAGAAACCCTCTCCGTCCGGAGACCGGCCCCTTGGGCACCTCCCGCCCCGCCCCGGCCTCCCTGCCATTTAAAACGAATTTTTAATTTTTTTTTTTTTTTTTTTAAGCTGCGTTTCGAGGGAAAATAGTAGAGAAGGAACCAATAACAAGGACAGAAAGTCGTGGCCTCAGCCGCCGCCCTGCATCCCCCGACCCAGCCCTGCCTAGGGCCGGCAGGGTCCCCGGGGGTGACACGGCCGAGCGGGGCTCTCCACTCGCCGGGCTTCCTTTTTTGTGGAGAAACAGTTTGGTTTTTTTTTTTGTGGGGCCAGCCGGCTTTATCTGCCGGCGACAAACCGGAGCGGGGAGAATTTATATTTTATTATTTTCTATCTGAGAGTGCGCTTTTCTACTCCTCAGTGCTGCTGAGATTTGGGTACCGGCATCACCCCGGTGCCTCTCCCCGGGCTGGGGCCCCTGCGAACGGGCGGGAGAGCGAAACTTCGGGCTAAGCCCTCCGGGGATGCGCGGTGCAGGCAGGGCAAGGGAAAGGGTTAACACCGGAAGAACCCCCCCAAAAACTCGGAGGACGAGGGAGAAGAGAAAAGAGGGAGGCAAGGCGGGGCTGGGCGACTCTGCCGGGCTGTAACTGGGACCGGGACCAAGCCTGGCCGGGACCGGGCGGGCGCAGCCACGGCTCGGGGCGGGTTGCGGTAGAGCACCGGCTCCCTCGCCCGCCCCTGCGGTTTTCAGGCTGCGAAAGATGCTTCAAAAAACGAAAACAAATCCAAACAGGCTTTTGTCAGGAGCCGTGGGGCCGCTGCAGCGCCCGCCCCGTCCCGCGGGGCTGAGCAGCCGGGATGGGGCAGTTCAATGCCAAAGAGACGATCGGTACCGGCCCCGCAGCATCCCAGTTCCGCAAAATCCCGACCCTCCGACATCCCGGCCCGCAGCGCCCCGGCCCCGCCAGTCCCGGCGCGCCTCTCCAGCCCAGCGCATCCTGCGCGGCCGCGGGTCCCCGCTCAGCCTCCGCTGGGGTTTTTTTATCTTTTTCGCACATTTTTCCTCCTCTCTTTTCCCATCCCTCCTTCCCGGGCCTCCTATCCCCAAACCACCGAGGCACCCCGCTGCAGCGGAGCAGCCGCGGCTGTTCCGCGGGGCAGCCGCTTCCAAACCCTGGGGAGCTCCGCTGCTGTCCCAGACCCGAGGGGGATGCAGGGGCGAGTGCCGGTTTTCCCTTCTCCAAGCCCGTCCTACGAGCCAGGAGCGGTCAGAAGGAAAACTGTCACTTTTCTCTCCTTACTTTTTTTTTTTTTAATTAAAAAAATTCCCAATTCCCCCACCCCCCTTTTTTCCTTTTTTTTTTTTTTTTTTTTTTTTTTAAATGTTTTTGGTTTTGTATTTTTTTTTTCCCTCTCCTTCCCCTCGGGTTGTGTCGAGTCTATCAAATCAGTTGTGTGGCCCTAACCTCCGTGGCCTTATATCTGCCGTGCTGCCGGGCCAGTCTATCTTCGCTCCATATACAGTAGACTTCAGAGAGCAGCACAATGGGGGAGGCAGGGAGGTGAGCATGTTAGAGGCGTGCATATTAACGAGCCGCAGCCAAGGAAGCCAAAGAAGCCGGCGAAAAACCGGGAGAGACGGTGCGGGAGGCGGGGACGTCCTCCCTGAGCCTCGCCTGCCTCGGCCTGGGCTGCTTTTGGGGCTCGGCATTGATGCGGAGCGCGGAGTCACGGAGCGGTGTCCTCCGCGTTTTGTTCGGGCTGTCACTCGCGCTCATTGTTCGGCATGTTCTACATGTTGTATCCCATATGGCCAGCTGGGCCGGGGACCCCTCACAAAACCCAAATTGTGCCCAGCTTTCAAACCCAGCATTGTTGTCTGTGAAAGGAAGGCGAATTAAAAATTCGTGCTATATCTATTCTGGGAAGAAAAAAAAAAAAAAAAAAAAGAAAAAAAAAAAAAAAAGAAAAGAAAAAAGAGGGGGCGCAAGGAAAAAGAATCCCGCTCTCTTCCCTCCCTCTCTGCTTTCTTTGAAGGCCAACAGAGACTCTCCTCCCAGTGCCCGCTGACAAGTTTCTCTCTCATTTCACAGGAAATTCCCCCCACCCCTCGCAAAGCCCCGAGCGCGTCCCCTGGCAGGAGCCCGCGGAGCTGCGCTGCGCGGCCGGGCTGCGGCGCGGAGGCCGGGGCAGAACAAGGCTGCATTGAGGGCGGGCTGGGCTGCAGCTGCCGCCTCCCTGCGCGGCCCGGCCGTACCGCCAGCCCGGCTGGCACGTCCCGCTGCCTCCCGGAGAAACGGCCCTTTCTTCCGCGCTCCTGCTTGTGCAAGGCTGAGAGAGAAAGGGAGGGAGGGAAAAGGAGAGGGAGAGCGACGGGCAGAAATTAAAAAGGGGAAATAAATTGTTTGATTTTAAAAACAGCAAAGAAAAGGGGGGAAGGAAATAACGAAAATGGGAAAATAAATGAAGAAACAAGGAAGAAATTCAAAAAGGAAAAACGATTAATAAAATAAAAAAAAAAGGGTCGAAAGGAAATAGAAAAATTAAAGGGAAGAGGGAAAAATAACGAAAAAGAAAAGAAAAGAAAAGAAAAAAAAGAAGAGAAAGGAGGAAAAAAATTATAACAAAATCAGAAAAAGCAAAGGAAGAAAAACTAATCTGAGAAGGCAGAAAAAGAAAAATAACGGATGGGACGGAAAACAGGGGAGAAAAGAGAAAAAGAGCTGGGAGAAGCCCTCAGCCCGGGCATCCTCCGCGCCCCAGGCGGGGCGGGGTAGCCCAGCGCCGCGCGGGATCGTTGTGGTGCCCGGAGCTGCTCCGGGCTCGAAGCGGGCCCGCAGTGCTCGGACGAGGCTTCCCCGAGGGGGGTCCGGCTCCTCCGGTCCCCGGCAGCCCCGGCGAACCCCGGGAACCCGGCCGGCCCCTCTCGGCCGCCAGGGCGGGGCTGGGTCGCGACACGGCCCGCGGGTCGCGATCTGGGGCTCTAGCGGGCGGTGGAAACTCGGCCCGAGCTTCAGGCCCCGCTCCGTTTCCTTTCCCGCCCGGTTTTCCCAGTATTCTCCTGCGGCCGGATCTCCGGGATGCCCCCGTCCCCACGGAGCCCGACGGTGACTTCCCCCTGTCCCCTATTGACTGTAGGGCTTAGGCGGCAGCGCTGTGGGTTTTTCGGGGCTGCTCGAGGAGCCGCTCGAGGAGGGAGCTAAGCCAATATTTACCGACCGCGAGGGCAATTCTCGGCGGGGTTCATTAAGGAGCCGGGGGGGCTGAAAGGGATGCGGGGGAAGACCCGGGGGGCGGCCCCGCCGCGGCGCTGGAGCGGGGAGGCGAGGCGAGACCCTGGGCCGTGTTCCGGGAGATTGGAGCCGGCTCCCCCGCAAATAACAACCCCCAAGCTCCCCGAAAATCATCCCCGGAGGTGTTCCTTGCTTTAAACGAGGGGCTGGGGTCGGTTTATTGGCCGAGGACCGTGTTTTTTGCGGCCCCCCGAGCCCAGGCAGCGGCCGCGGGGAGGCAGCAGAGCCCCGCGGAGCCCGGCGCAGGACGGGGCGGAGGCTACACTGTCCCTCCGCGCCCCCGGGCATGACAGAGCGGGGGACCCCCGCGTCCCTGTCCCCTGAGCACCCCCCTCTTCCGCCCCAAAGGCGGGATGGCCGCGCGGCGGCGCTGCTGGATAAGGGACGCGCCGTCGGGGCCGCCCGGGACCCCGCGGCGAGGGGACCCTCGCATCCTCCCGGTGACACGGAGAGGAGGGACGGGCCGCTGGAGGGGTGGCACAGGCCCCGCAGCAGGAGGAGCGGCCTTAGCCCTAAACCGACGGGCCCGGGGATATCGCTTTGGAATTCAGCGCAGGGCTCGGGGCGTGACGAGGTCTGGCCCCTGACCCTCATGGAGGGCAGGACACGGCGGCAGCAGGGACTGGTGTCAAACTCCCCAAGCTCCAGAACCCCACCTTCGAGGCAAACAGAGTGTCCCCAAAGCCCGGGCAGGGTTTGGTGCTCAGTGCTCACCCTTTCCACATCGGAAGAACAAACAAACCGATGGCGAGGACATCGTGGAATTCCGGAGAGCTGGAGAGGATAAGGCAGCACATCCCGGCTTCCTCCCGGCTTCCTCCCGGCTCTCCCCGCCCCACAGGTACGGGGACAGCTCCCTCCTTACACTGGGGACATTGGGAACACTGGGGACAGGTGAGTGCCCCAGGATAGCCCTGTACTCCTCCCTCACCAGGTGATGCCTCACTGAATTTTGGGTTTCATTCAGTGCTGGTGAATTTACTGGCGAATTTACTGCATTTTGGACAATACCGTTAATTAATGGTAAATTAATGTAGAGAATCAGGGAATTTCTGACAAGAGAGACACCGGAGGGACCCCTCCCTTCAGCTCCCCCATGGCCCTTGCAGGCAGCAGCCTCTCTCTTTCCCGCTTTCCCTCCCTCCTTCTCTCCTACCCGTGGCCGGTGCATGTTGTCCCCACCTACTCTTCCTCCCCAGTATTTAAATAACCAGCAGACTCAAAGAAGCTGGGATGCTTCAGCTGCAAAGGACATGCCCTTGATCGAGGGGAACCAAAAAAAAAAAAAAAAAAAAAAGAGGAGGATTTAAGGCTGCAGAGTGGTGTTGGATTCAGCATCTTTCCCTCCCACAGGCCCCACAAGTCTCACCAGCCACAAAACTCAAAGTTTGTCTGAACATATTTTATTGGGTCATACAAAGTTTTGGGCATTTTCAGTGGGGTTCATGCACTGCCCCCGAGTTCCACTGACATATCTGGGATTAAACCAACCGGGAGTCACATCCATGCTCTCAATACAAAACATCCCAGGTCTGCTGGGAAAACCCAGGAGCTCAGACAAACTCCCCGGGATTGTTCCAGGTTCACTTGGACAGCGTGCCTTCATCTTGCCTTGTGTGATCTGCCATGTTCTGTGGGATTCAGCCCAGTTTAGGGAAAAAGTTCTCCGTGAGATAAAAACTGCAATAAATAAATTGTGTCAAATCATGCTGTCATTGCCTCACATCAGATCTGGCCAAGCAGGCTCACCTATTTTGGGAAAAAAAAAGGGTTTAAGAAGTGGTTGTGTCTTTGGATGTGCAGGCATGCAGCTGCTCCTCCCCACCACCTGTGGGATGCACCACTCCTGGATCCTACACACACATCCTCCAGGGAAGGGGTGTCTGAAGGAAAATAATTCAGCTCTGGTTGTTTAAGAGTCAAAAAAAAACAATCCTGGAAGATTTCCCCCATTGTAGAACTTCCCAGCTATTATTATTTCTCCCCTTTTCAGTCAGAAAAAAGTCACTGACTCCTAAAAGAGGTGAACGCACTACACAGGATTCTTAACCCAAAACCAGGCCAAGTGATCCAGCTTCAATAAACTTGGGATATAAATGGCAATACATTTCTCGTATCTTCGGGGATGGGTCTCCATCCTTTGCCACACCATGGAGGAGCTCTTGGCAGCACATCCCACAGAAAACACAATGTCCCAACTTTCCTTGGTGTAGCCCCTCCTGAGGGCAGCTGCTCCCCAGGGGTTCAGCAGCACAAGCCAAGCATGGCTGAAGGCTTTGCTCAACGTCTTCCACCCCTTTATCTTCTCTTGCCATTCCAGGGGCTTGGGAAGGGCTGCAGCTCTCCTTCCACAGCCTGCACATGAGCTGGCCTGAAACAGTTCCGAGGGATCTGCAGGGAAGTGACCCCTGAGCTCTTTCCCCAGGTGTTTTCCCAAAATCCCACAGCAATTCCATGAAAGTGGTTTTGGAGCCCCTTTGGCTGAGGCAGGTGTAAGGCAGAGTCCATGGGGTGAGCCCAGGACTAAACCAGTGACTCCTAGGCCAGCCTTTTTCCTGCCCCAGGAGTGAGAGGAGACACTACCCCACATGTATCCCAAGGGGCTTGGAATTCCCCCAGCAGGGAGAGAGACCCTGGCTGCACATCAGATCCGTCCTAGGTGAGGAAGGGAAGGGATCAGTAGTGATTTCGGACACAAACCAGGGACCACCACCCCAGCCCTCCTTTGCGCCCCTTCAACACCTCCCAGGGGGTGATGTTGGGAATTCCCTGCCACCCACTTCACCCTCATGGAACCTTGGCCCCACTGGCACTCGTCCATCATGGCCATGCCAATCTGTGTGTGCTCCTCTGTGTAAGATCCATGGATTTCCACGCCCAAGGGAAGCACTGGCAGTGCCAGGCACCTCATCAAGCTCCTCCTGCCACATTGCAGCCAGGATGGAAACTCCTTGTGCAATCCTAAATATCCAAAATGCCCAAAGACAAAGGCCTTAAAGGGCAAAGCTCCCTCCTGGCTCAGAGGATGCTTTTTATACTATGGATATATGTAAGACTTGCCTTTGATGTCCCTCTCAGAGTTAGCGAACAGCTGGATGAAAACCCATGAGAAAAGGGAATTCAGCATTGTCATTAATGGTGACTTGAGGTGGCAGCTGTTTGCTGTGGGTTTCAGCAGCTTCTTGATTGGTCCCTCTCGAGTGAGGACACTTAAAACTCCATATTACACAGAAAAAAGGCAATGGAAACATCCCCAGCTTTTTGTATTTCAGTTCTCTCAAGGGTGTCTGAATGAGGTGAAAATAAAACACCCCAGAGCCATCAAAGAGAAAACTGAGCTGATTCTGGTGAGGAGGGAGGGAAAGAAGGAGGAATGGTCACTCAGTGTGTACCCAATTCCTTCCTGGCACATCCTGGAGCACCCCACAGACAGTAAATCCAACCTCCCTTCCTACACAAAGTCTTGGGAAAATTAATCCATAAACTGATCACACAGTGTATCTAAAAAGTAAGAGGAACGGTAACATTGGAAGTCACTTTGCCCTGGTGGAGTCCATTCGGGATAAATTCTTATTCTCCTCCCTTCCTCTTGAACCCAAGGTTTGCAAATAATCAACAAATAATGAATGCCTGATTACAGAAGAGCAGCCCCAGTGGTGTGTGGTCCTGCCTGACAGAAATCCACCCAAAATTTGGACTGTCCGAAGTCCCTCTGGAACACATCAGTGGCTCCCAGCTGGGCCACACAGCCACAACATCAAAATGTTGTCACTTCCAGTGCCAGTAAAAATGTTCAGCAGGGATTTGGTGATGCTGTGGCAGTGGGGTACCAGCTCTGGGAAAAGCCATATAACATCCAGCTCCATCTATTCTGGTTTGTGTGGGTGCCCAGAGACACCAGCTCACCCTGTTTGCCTTTGGGAGATTTTGACTTTGGAAAATATGTTGGTTTTTTCCCCTGGATCTCCCAGTACCTGTAAAGGGATAAATCAACTCAGTGGTGTGCCTGAAGCCATCTGGCTGGTCACATTATCGGGTTTTTACCATGGGATGAAGAAAATAATAAATAAGCCCAGATTTTCCATGTGGCTGTTGCCATTGTGCCGGGATTCAAACAGGAATCTGGGAGCAATCCCTGTTTAGCCCCACCCCGTTGTTACAAAGCCAGGCTCTGTTCACAGCCCGGGGCAGGTGAGGGCAGAGAACAGCACCTACCTAGGTTTGGAGTTTTCCTGCTCTAGCTCAGACACAGGGGAGCTGAAGAGCTTTGCTGTTCCTGCTCCCCAGTTGATGATAACCATTGACTATCAGACAGGGAGAATTCCATGTGTCCTTCCAGCAGCTCCTGACCCTGGTCACCCGCAGGGACACTGGGGACCTCTCCAGCGCCCCATGCAAACAGCATTTATACCCCTAAATACTCAGTCTCTACTTTCTGCAGCTTGATTTTAAAGGCAACCAGCAACTTTTCTCCTTGCCATCAATAATTCATGGCCACACCAGATAGTCATTAAACATATAATCAAATTAAGTTAACATATCTTGAGGTTTGCAACCCAAGGTTTCCTGCCTCAGCCCACAGGATGCCTGCCTCTGTTTGGGTTGCCACTTAATCACCACACAATATTTGTTTTGGCTTGGTTGTATGTGAGGAGAGATTTATTCCATGCCATCTGGCTGCAGTGTGGGAGTCAGCAGGGGGGAAAAGCTACCCTTAACTCCTCCACTGGCTGCCTTAGGGACCTTTGGGAAGGAACACCACAGTGGAGCAGCTAAAAGTGTTCCAGCTACTTGCTTTGACACATTGTTTATCCATACTATCAGTTTTTAAGGAGTAACTCCCACCACTCCAGGCTTCTTCCATTTGCCGAGCTGCCCACGCAGCTCTCAGAGGTAATTGCACGCAGAGCAATCCCAGCTTTGTCTGTGCCCCTTGAAACCCCCCAAAATAACGACAAGGGTTTAATCTGCATTTATTTGGGATGATTTCAGCATCGCTCAGCACACCTCCCGGGGAACTCAAGAGGAACAAAGAGCCCATTGTACCTCGTGTGCCACACTCAAAGCCCATCAAAGCCAGCGCCAACTTGGAAGAGCCTTGACTTGAGATCCACTGGAAAAACTCCCAGTGACTTCAGGAGACACTGAATCAGGTGCTCCAAGGAGGATAACCCACGCTGGTGGTGACAGGCTTCATGTTCATTGCCCTTTGGAGACAGAACAAGAACAAGAAGTTCTGAGAAGCCACAGAGGCAAAAAACCCCAGAAAATATCAACAATAAACCTCGACAGCATTGTCTGTAATTGAGTATGGAGTGACTGGAGAGAGCACTAAGTGCTTCCCAGATCTGCCTTGAAAACTTCAGGATTAGGGAGGGTGAGAGCAGGGAACTCACACATGGAGCTGAATTTGGCACAGCTTGGGCACAGAGCAGCTCCCTGGGAGGCAAAAATGAGAGCATGGAGATCATCAGCCCAGCCCAGCCCAGCCCCACATGCTGGGTGAGGCACAGGGGAGGAACCAGCCTCTAAACAACAAAAAGCAGCAAGGCAGATGTCCCAGTGCATCCTCCTGAGGGACCAGCACCTTCCTCAGGCAGCTTTGCACCCAGAAAACTGCCTGGGAAACCTGTTATCCTTGGAATGCTTGCGTGGGGTCTCCAGCCAGTGCCTGGTGGGGGGGGGAAGAAGAGACAATTTCAGCTGTTACTTCAAAGTAGGGAAAACAGTGCAGGCAGGAGAGGAAGGTGAGCTGAGCAGCAGCAGAGGCACAGGAGGAACAGTTTTACGCCTCAAGCAGCATCTGAAGCACCAAGGTTTGTGTTTCTGAAAATTCCTGGCACCCACTGTGCAACAAAAGTCACTCTATGAGACCATTCCCAGGCTCCTAGCAGAAGGGATCTTAATTGCCACAGAGACACTTTTCCCTCCCATCTCTGGATCGGCACTCGGTGGTTCCTGAGCTTGGGAAATTGCCGCTCTCTCCTGATTAAGTGCTTAATTGTGGCCAGAGCTTCCTTAAGTGTTTCCAGCCCTGAGCTGCAGTCCCACTTCAAACACGCACCTGCCCGGGAATCCCTTCCAAAGGGTGCCTGAGGGGCCCTGGGTGCATCCCTGTTCCACAGGGAGCCGAGTGGAGAGCCGAGAGACAGAGAGCACTCATTAACTTGGGCTCCAGCAGGATGTTTTCCTTCAAGGAAAACACGGACAAAGTCAAAGGAATTTAGCAATTATTTTAGCAGGTGTCCATCCCTGGGAATGCTCAAAGCCAGGTTTTGAGAACCTTCATTCTACTTGAGGCAGTTCCCACCTGTGAACTCTCCAGGATCACCCACAGTTCTGCAAAAAGTTTCTGGTCATGGGGAAAAGCTGTGGTTAAAATCCCTGGAGGCCTTGCAATGGTGATACCAGCCCCAGCTCAGAGCTGCTTAATGGTTAATGGAATAATATTTCCATTCATTGTAGATGAGAAAAGATAATTACTTTTGGGGTTTAACAACCAAATGTGTTGATCCAAATGTAATCTCAGTGTTTTAGCATCTGATTATTACATCAGAAACACAAATGTCAATGGGCTGCAGCAACCGAGTTGTCAGAAGAGGGGAAAGGGAGATGTGTGACTTAAATCACACACCAGGGGAAAGATACCACCAAGGTACATTTAACTTGAGTTAATTAAAAATACTCTACTTCCCTGTAGCATTCTGGGAGCTGGGAGCTTATGTTTTCCCTCAGTGATCCTTCTGCTACATCCAGAACAAGGGACAACCAGAGGGGACAAGTATGGGTCATTCCCTGCTCTCCCAAACCAAGGATACAAATCCCAGATGGCTCATTCCCCACAGAAAGGAATGGCTGCAGGAATGTTATACACTGAGGGTGCTTTGGTGCTTCCATCCCAGATCTTTTTTCTGGAATTCAGCTAGCACTTGTCCTCCGGCATCTTCTATCACCTCCGTGGGTCCTGCTGGGCCTATTTGTCCCTGCTGTCCCAGACCTGCTCTGCTGAACCCAGAGAACATGGGAGAGGTTTCCTTTCCAACCCAAACCACCCCAGAACCTGCAGCAGCAGCCCATTCCTGAGGCAGTTTAGACAGGAGATGACAGGAATCCCTGTTCTCCAGGAATTCCTGTTCTCCCTATCCCAAAAGCATCCAGCACACACAGGGACCAGCACACGACATTAACACGAGTGTGCTGCCGAGAACCAGCTGGAATCGTGGTGCTTTCTGCTGAACAAAGCCCTTGCCTTGATTTCTCAGCCAGGTTCAAGTTCCCAGCAGGCTGAACATCCCCCACCCCATCCCTGAAGCACCCAGTGCTGTATGGAATTTTATTAAATTGCCAGCATGGGTGGCCGTTCAAAGTTTGTGTGGCTTGATGTGATCGATGGCAGCAAAACACAGGAATAAAGGAAGGGGGAGGGGGGTACCCCTGTTTGTTAAAGCTTTTTCTTTTCCCTTTTGAATAAAATGTCAACTCCATTATATAGATGTCAACTCCATTACTGCAACACTCCTGTGGCAGCCTCAACATGGAACTATCTGCTAATAAAACAACTTTCTCACAGGGGGAGCAGAGGGCAAGTTACCTGCTGGAGGTTCCAATCTGGTTAAGAAAATTCCTGTTTATCCCTGCAGGCACAAACACCATTTCCATTATTCTGGTTTCCTCCTCGTCTTTGTCAGCCCCAAAGTAGAAACCTGCTCTTGTATCCTGATGAGCCTGCTGTGGTCACGGACCTTTCCTCGTTAGAGAAGGTGGAAAATGGGGAGAGTCGTGCCTGCTGTGCTGGAAAAAAAATCTGGGTTAGAATTGTGGAATAGTCTGGAATTGAAGGCACCTGAAAGGTCCCCTTCTTCCAGCAGCAGCCAAGGTGGGAGAAACAGAGAAGCAGGTTCCTGGAGGTCCTACTCCAGGGGGATGTTCTGTCAAGCCCCCTGAGGGGGGTTTGGGGACAAGTGCCCCCCACATCAGCAAGATCTGCCCACAGGCAGAAGGTACCATATACACCACCCCAAAAGCACTTTCAGAGACGCCCCTGGAGGTGTTTGGCAGGTTTGTGTGCCTGGGAAACCAGGATACACTTGGGAAGAGAATTTGGGTGTGTGAAACTGGGGGCTCCCATCCTTCCACAGCTCTTTTGGAATATAAATTATATTTTTAAACAACTAGGAAGGCGGGGAAGCCACTCAGCCTTGCTAGGCATTGGTTGTGAGAGTCCAGGGCTCCCCCCTCACTCTCAGGTTCGCTGGCTGCTCACAGCCCCATGCAGACAAAGATGAGAACGTATTTAGAAAAGAATAAAGAAACCCATTCCACGATGGGAGTTGTTTAGATAATTGATTTCCCTTGGACTTAAAAGCACTAAATAACAGCCAGTGAGTCACATCTCCCAGATAACCTTTTCCTTCAAATCTCTCTTCCAAAGTATTGGCCTTTGACAGAGGTGTCTCTGGGAGTGCAGCTCCGGCAGGCTCTGAGACAGCCCATAGGTAGGATCTTGCTCAGAGAAGGCCGTGACAATTCCTCAAGCAATTATTTTTTTCCCCGGTATCCTTTGCATAGAGAGAGCTAATTAACTGCCTGACAGGTTCTGCAGATCCAGGGTGCAGAATGAAGTAGCACAAATGTCATAATTAATTAGCAGTTTAATGCCAGAATGAACATGGCAAAGGTGCCATGTCAATATTCCAGCACCAGGTGGGGAGAATTCCATGTGCCAGGCATTGGGGCAGGTCCAGCCTGGACAGAAGAGGGAATTTCTTCATGGAAAGTGTGGTTGGGCATTGGAAGTGTCCAGGGAGGTTTGGAGTCACCATCCTTGGAGTGCCCAAGGAAGGACTGGAGGTGGCACTCAGTGCTCTGGGCTGGGGACAAGGTGGGCATTGGGCACAGCTTGGACTGATGGGCTGGGAGAGATTTTCCAACCTCAGTGGTTCTGTGATCCCACTACAGAGCCCCAGACTCTGTAGTGGGAAGCTCAGCTGGAATCACTGAGAAATGAGGAATAACCTGTCCTGTCCCCCCAGGAACTGGGCAGGGACAGCCCATGCCAGGCAGGGGCGTGCCCAGCCCCAGGCCCTGCTTTTTCCCAGGGACTGTCGCTGTTGAGTAAGAAACAACACAGACTCACTAGAAGGTTGGTTTGTACAGCATCTCCGCTTTACTTCAAATTTTTATTTTTTATACATTGTTCTGATACAGATAGACTAGATTGGTCAATTTATGAATGTATTTCATTTGATTGGTTAATTAACAAAATGCTTTTTTAATAAACAATCTTTGAGAAAAACAACACTTGCAGGATGTTTATAATAACAAGCTATCATTGTTTAACTCCCCGAAGTCTCACAAGCTGATTATGGGAAAACTTATTTAGTTTTCTCGCTCTCTGACCAGGCTGTCACATCTGCAAGGGACAACATCCATCCTACCTCTCTCTCATCCACCAGGGAGTTTCCGTATATTTAGTGAGAATGACCCTGTCAGTGGCCACCAGGCAGCTCCCAGCCCCTCTCCCAGCCCACCTTGCAGTGGGGACAAGAGTGTGTTTGGCACAGAGACACAAAGCTGTCACACAGACCTGAAGCCGTCACACACCTCCCATGGGCAGCAATTCCTTTCCCAGGGATGGAAGAGGGGCACAGCAGCACAGAGGTACCAACTTCCCCCTGGATCAAGGTTGACAGAGCAGGGGTTGGACCTGGGGCAAGCCCAGCACCAGACCTGCCCCAACAAAACTGAAGCAATTAGAGTCATCAAGGCTGGCTCCTGGCAAGAACCAAAACCCAAGAACTCTCTGAGAAAACTCTCAGCCCTATCCTTGTTCCCTGAGCAGATGTTCCCAGTGCTGGTGGGCTCCAGGGAGTGTATCCCACATACCTGGAGCCCAGCAGGGGACAGCTCCCCATGGGACAGACACCTCAAATCCTGCCCTTGCGAGACCCACAGCCCTGAAAGTAAAAACCCCAGGGCTCAGGCATGATTCTCAAGGACTCCAGAGCAGGGCAGATTCCTGCAGGAAAATAAGAGCGAGGACTTACAGACAGGCATCCGTGTCTCCTTCCATCCTCAGCTCCCTCAGCTCCACTCCCTTCCCCATCCACTGTGGGAGATCTTCAGGAGGAAGAGCAAAGCAAGGGACGAAGCCCCTCAGCCCTGCATCCATTTGGGATCATCGGGCTGCCAGCGCTGGGCTGTGCCAGGCAGGGAAGGCAGAGCTTTGGGTTCTTGAAATGCCACTCCTCCTTGCAGAGCCAACTCCATGGTGACAAACAGCGCCGGGAGCCGTGACACTGGTGGGTCAGAGCCAGCATGGCAGCACCGGGAGGGAACAATGAGACAGAGCAAGAACTCGGCTGTGGGAAAAAGGATGGCCTTGAGGAGGAGAAAACGCATGGCATGCAGGAGAAGGTCTTAACTTCAGTTTCCTCTTTTTTTAACCTAATGAAGTCTTTTATTAACCCCATCTGGAAGAGGCCAGCACCTCTCCAACATCTGCTTGGGGGCTTTGTTCAACTGTGAAACTTCTCTGTTTTTTCAAGTGGGGTTTATTCCAGCAGTTCAACAATGGGATGTTCCAGGGATTTCTGTCCCCCCTAAGTGCTGACTCCTGCAAGTGAGATCCCAAAACAGTGGTTCAGTAATGTCCATCAGTCATGAGGGACTGTGCACCCCTGAGTTCCACACAGGAATGCTGCTCCTTGGGACGGAGCAGAGGATTCCCAAAGCTGGGAAGGTATCAGCAGGGCACTCATCCTGCCAGTGCCTCCACAGCCCAGAGAGAATTTCCCTATGGAACAGCTTTGGCTCCCAGCAAAGGTGGCTACAGCAGCAGGGATTTCTGTGGAGGAAGCCTGGGAGACATCTCCCAGCAATGCGTGCTTGTTTGAGAGCAGAATTCGTCTCCTTCGGGGCCACATCCTTCACAAATCCGGTTTAACAGATGCCTCCTGACTCTGTCTTGTCCTGCTCTGTTATTCTCAGCTCCGGTCATTCCCCATCCAGGATCTGTATCATTTCCACACCAGGCTGTCCCACAAAGCACAGGATGCTGTCCTGCAGCCTCCCTGGGTCCCTCATTTGGATTTAAAGGATGCCTGCGTGGTGTTTCCCAGCCCTGCACGATCTGGAGCTGGACACAACAGGGCTAGGAGGAGTCTATATCCAACCATGGAGAATCCATGTTGAATCCAGCAGCATGAGGGGCCAGCCTGGGGCTCAGGGGCCCTTGGCCAGGTCCCATCTCAAGGTGATCCCACAGCAGGACTGGCTGTCACACCTCAGATCCCACAGATTTGTTCCAGGTTTATCCTACCTCTGCCATGTCTGGGCTCCAGCTCCTTCTACTCCAGCAACAGGGAGCAAGCCCTGAAGCTGCTCCTCAGTTGCCACTGGCAGGGAAATAAATATCCCAAAATCCCAGTCGATCCCCATTTCACATCCACAGCTGCACCACTGGATCATCGTCCCTGGCTCTCCACATCCTTGGGAAAATGACACATTCCCTATTCCCCTGTCAGGTCCTGCACCCATCAGACACAATCCTACTCCCAGGGTTGTACAGAAAAGAGGGATGGATTTTTCCTCCAAAAGAGGAATTTCTCCCCACTTTGGTGCTCCAGGGCCCTGAGTCACTGTGGTTACTCCTAACTGTACATGGAATAGCGCTCTGAATTTAGAATTTGTGGAGCTTATCCTTCAGAAAGTCTACTTCATGACTTCCTCACACTGTATCTAAATCCAACCCAAATGGAGTTTTTTCCATCTTTTTATTTTCCTCTTTCCCAAGAAAACCCACGTGCTTGTCTAGGGGTTTGTGTGGATCCAGCACTGTAAGGACGCAAACGGCTCGTCTGGACACAGCCAGCCTCTGGCTCCTTTGCCCTCCCCACCAGCACAAGGATCTCTCCTGGGCAGCAGAGGCAGGGATAAAGATCACCTCAAGTCTCCAGCAGCAGCACAGTGTCCTGGACATGCACTGAACCCAGCTGCCACAGAGAATGGGGATGCTGGATAACCCTGGAAGTGCTCCAAGCCAGGCTGCACGGGACCCTGGCAACCCAATCTGGAGCTGGCATCCCCGCCCATTGCAGGGAGCTTGGAACAGGAGGGTCCTTCCAGTCCCTTCTGTCCCAAACCGGGCAGGAATCCCATGGTGATCCCACAGCCTAGGCCAGGTTAAACCCATGGAAAAACATCCATGTGCCATGTGGAAGAACTCCCATTCCAAAGGCAGGAGTAGTCACAAGCAGCACAAACCAGGAGGGAATTTAAACCTGGGAGTAACTCAGGAGCCCAGATTTTCCTGGTGTTCTTTCACCCATGCTTCAGCCACAGGGAAAGCCACCCTTGTTATTCCAAATAATTAAAACTGGGAAAACAATATGGAATGAAAAACAGCCTCAACAAAGGGAGAGAGGCAGTGGGCCCAGCACAAAGGAGGCAGTGGCATACGCTGCTGCCAGGCAGGAATGGGGCAGGGATAAAGGATCAGGGATTGGGGATCAGGGATCCAGGCACAGAGCACTGTGGTGTCAGAGAAACACCTGTGTTCTGTTATCTGAGGAAAAGCTGGAGGAGATGCCTCAGGATTATTATACAGCACTGGAGTATTTTCTGCCACCTCAATAATTAGGAAAACCTTACAAGCAGCTCTGGGATATTTAGCTTTCCTGCTGCCCACACTGGAACCTACTTTGCTCACATCCACACACTTTTCCCTTTCCAGAAACGTTTCCCAGCTGGATCTGAGGACACAAGACATTTACCTGGGAGCTCAGTATCTGGAAACGCCCTCTTTCACAGGCAGGATAAAAACTGGCTTGTCCCCTCTCTGGGAAAACACATCCATCCAGCAAGCAGGAATTCCAGGGAAGGGTATGTGAGACCAATATATTTATTGGCAGTGGGTGGGCGGTGGTTGTCCCAAAAAAGCTGCATAACTAAAATCTACAGCCACAAGGATAAACATTATGCCATGACAGTTATCATCATGTAAAGAGGGGTGGGAACCCTGCGGGTGGACGGGGAGATAACACCCCCTAAACCTGACTTTAGAGTAGACCAGACATGTCACAGGGTCTCCTGGTGCGGCCGTGCCACCGCCGGCCGTTCTTGGTGGGCATTCCTGATGAGCATTCCTGCCGGGCATCCCAGCCCGCAGTTCCTTGTTCAAGGCTCGACTTCCCCAGGCAGGGGAGAGGCGGCGGCCACAGGAGCGGAGGTGTCCCTGCGCCGGGTTAATTTGTTGCCTTCCCTGTGAACAGCCCCTTTAGTGTGACTTCAAACTCTTCATTCGGGGTTTTACGTGGAAATGGTTTTAAAGAGCGCTGGAAACCCCGGGTTCCTTTTCCAATCTCGCAGCGTCTTTAGAAAGCAATTCCTTAAGCCTCCATTTCCGAGACCCTTTTAATCTCTGCAAATTATTGGTGAGCTGAATCAAGGCAAACTGCCACCCCAGTGCTGTCACTGCGCAGAGAGAGGCTGCCGCTGATTATTTAGAGGAAACCATCGCTTTTGGGCCGAGAAATAAATTAGCATTTATACTGGATTATTGAAAAACGCCCCCCCAAAAATCAGCCTCCATCTCTGTGTCAATTGTGGCTCACCGAGGTCAACACCTCTGCTGTGACAGGCACGGGCTCTCGCACAGCAAAGGACAACTTATGTGTGGAAATGAGTCCCAAATGTGTCATTATTATCCGTGAGACAAGCCGGGCTGGGAAATAACATCTGCACTGCTGGAAATAACTTCTGCACAGCCCGGGATCCAGGCGACCTTCAGCAGAATGGGGGTAATCAGGGAGCAGGGAAAATCACCCCCAAAAATTAAAACCCCAGAGTTTGGCTTCTTGGTTCTTTGCTGTTACATTTCCTACGTATCTGGGGGTTTTTTTTGTTTGTTTGTTTGGTTTTGTTTTTTTGGAGTTGTTTGTTCGGATTTCTTTTTTGTTTTTTGTTTTGTTTGTTTCGTTTTTTTTAAAATTTGCTTTTCAACTACTTCACTTGGAATCTGCAGTGTGATCCTCCCAGGGTAGGGAAAGAAGAAATCCTGTTTTGTGTGGAACCTCCAGGTGATGGAGGGTTAGGTTAGAAAAACACATTCTATAAGTGAGAAGGATTTCAAGGTTAGGGGGTTGTTTTTTTGTGAGACATTTGCCACATCAAAATGATTTTCTTTACACCCACCACCGAAATGATGTGATGCTTTTTATCCCAAACATCACGTTACGGATGTGGGGAAAATTCTGGGGTGTTTTCAGTGCAAAATAGCCACGAGGCATTTTGCTGGCTGCATTTCTACCAGCTACACCTGGGCTGTGTTTCTCCCTGGGCTCCATCAGGGGATGCAGGGATGCCTCTGGCCCCAGGATAAGGGTGAGTGGTGTCCTGGTGAGCAGAGGCCCGGCTCAGCCCCCGTTGTGCCCCAGGGAATTTCCCCAGCCCTCAGGAGCCTGTGCCAGCCCTGCCACAAGGAAAGCTCCACATCACTCCTCATCCCAGCTCCAGCAGCAGGATTTGGGGGCAGCTCTGGTGTTCAGGATCCCTTTTCCCCCTGGCTCCCCCTTCCTGGGCTGCTGTCCTGGGGCACCCTCGTCGGATTTTCCCCCCTGTGCCCCAGGTGCCCAGTCCAGGGTCCTGGTGTGTGTGCAGAGGCTGTGAGCAGAAGCTGGTACCACACTGTCCCCTGAATCCCTACAAACCACCTCGCTTGTGCCACATCCCAGAATCCCAGTTTACAGGGCCAGTCTGACACAAACAGGACCAGTCCCTCTCAGTCCTTCACCTTATTCTGTCTGGTCTGCCCCCAAAGCAGCACTGAGGCCTCGGTGAGATCCCAAACTGCCCCAGTGGCTTGCAGGGAATCATCCCTACAGCACAGGAGCAGCCTCTCCCTTCCCAGAGGGAAGCAAGGACACCACGCTCTGCCATCTGTCTATCCGTCCGTCCGTCCCCAGGGCACGGTTCCTGCTTTGCCAAGCTGCAGGTTCCTCCTAGAGCTCTCTCCCTGAAGGGCTGGGGGACTCCAGCCTGATCCCCCCTGCAGGGCCCCCCTACCCCAACAGCACACCGGCACCTCTGTGTCCGAGGAGGAGGGAGGTTTCAGCAGCTCCTTCCTGGAGTGTGAGCCCCAGAAAGGAAGGGACCTGCTCCAGTAGGGATGGAAAACTCCAGGTGCCAAAAAAACCCAACCAACCAACCAAACAAACAAACAAAAAAAAAAAAACCAAACCAAAAAAACATAAAATAAAATAACATAAAAAAAATAACATAAAATAAAATAATCAGCCTTTGGAGAAATACTAATGAAGAATGAGCTGGGCTCAAACACGGTTCAGCAGCTCACTGGTACCACTGGTGACTGTGCTGGGAGCCCGACCCCAGGGACAGAGCTGTGTCCTGCCCTGGGTTGCTCTGAGGTGCAGCAGTGTGCCCACTCGTAGGTCAGCCCCTGTGCTGCTCTGCTGCTCCTACAAGGATGTAGAGAGGCTTTTTTTTTTTTTTTTTTTTTAAATAGTGGGGAGGGGAAGAGAAGTGCAGGGGAAAAAAACGGATGGAGGTGCCAGGAATTCTGCCCGAATGGTGGGAAGATTGCAACGGAATAGAACTGTCAGGAAGGCAGTATATGGACGGCAGTGCGTGGAGATTCGGGACCCGTTTAACTCCTGACCCTTGCCGGGGTCTCAGAGTTTCAGTGTGGAGCACAAAGTTTAAAACACAAAACCGTGCTTGCTCTGATCTTTTATTTTTAACAATCACCACAGAGCTGCAGGTGCCTTGCCTGCAAAAATATCCGGGAAAAAATGGGGTTTGAGAAGGGAAGGGTCCAGTCTGGAGGGTGTGGGATATCCCCGGCTTCCCAAAACGGGCCTCAGTCCCCGCAGAAGGGAGTCCCTGCACAAACACCGGCAGCAGCTCGGGAAGCGGTGCCGCTCCGGAGGGAGGCTGATCAAGGAACACACCGAGTTTTATCAATTTGTGGGGAAGGCGCAGCCCCGCGGGTCCCCGCGCACGGCCCGGGCGCGCCTGGGTACGCACCTGGCACATCTCCCCGAACACGGGCTCCGCCCGCCCCGTCGCGGCGGTGCACGGCCCCGGGGAGCGGGGAACAGCTTTGGCTGTGGGGTCTGGCCGCGCCCCGGCCTCTCAGCCCGGCAGAGACCCCGCTCAGCCCCGCGGCCCCGGGAGCGGCCCCGCGGAGCTGCCCCGACGGGAGCGGGGTCCCGGGGCAGGAGCTCCGCAGCCGCTTCCCGTTGCGGGCGAGCGAGGCCCGCAGCCGGCCCGCACCCCGCCCGCGGGCTCGAGCTGCCCCGGGGGAGCCTTTCGTTGCACCAAAACCAACGAGCAAACGAAGAACGACCGAAAAAAACCCGAAAACACAATCGCAAACGAAGCATCGGCTCTAAAGGGGCCCCGATGGCCTCGCACCCCGTGACAGCGGCTCAGAGGGGCCGGGACCGGGCAGGAGACGGGACAGGGCTGCCCGGCTCCTGCCGTCGGGGCCGGGCGGGGGCCGCGCCGTCCCGGGACGCTCTGACCGGGGGTGGCCGTGCACCGTGGAGAGGGGATCGGGGGACCGGGCATGTACTTACGGGCGAGGGCGCCGGGGCCTGGGCCGCTCGGAGCCGCTTCGGCGCTACCCCGCCGTGGTTGGGCTTAAGAGCCGTCGGGCGGGCGCAGGACAATGGCCGGGAGGAGGGGGCCGGGGCCGGGGGCCGGCGGGAGGCGGGGAGGGGCCGGGGCCGCCCGCCGCCGCTCCGCCCCCCCGCGTCTGGCGTAAACCCGGCGCCGGGCTAAAAGAACCGGCGAGCTACCGGCTCCCGGGGCTGGTGGCCGCCGCCGCGGACGGCTCGCCGGTGCCGGCGGCAGCGCCCGGCCCGTCGCGGCCCGTCGCGCCATGTCGCTGAGCCCCAGGCACACGACGCCCTTCTCGGTCACCGATATCCTCAGCCCGATGGAGGAGAGCTACAAGAAGTTCGGCGGCATGGACGGGGCGGGCGGGCTGGGCGCAGCCCTCGGGCCGTACCGCCAGGCGTCCGTGGCCCCCGCTGCCGCCGCCGTCCCCCAGCACGTTCCCGCGGGCGCGGCCGCCTATCACATGCCCCACGGCGTCTCGCAGTTCCCGCACGGCGCCGTCGGGGGCTACTGCAACGGCGGGCTGGGCAACGTGGGCGAGCTGCCCACCTACCCCGAGGGGATGCGGGGTGGCGCGGCGGCGGGAGGCGGCTGGTACGGGCCCGCCGGCGACCCCCGCTACTCCAGCAGTAAGTGCGGGCGCGGGGGGCGCGGCAGAGGAGAAGGGGGGCGGCCAGGCGCGGGGGGTGCGCCCCGACGGGGCGGGCGCCGGCCGGCGTTGAGCAGGCCGTCCCGCTCAGTCTCCAGGTTCATGGGCCCGTCGGCGGGGATGAACGTGGCCGGCATGGGCGGCCTGAGCGGCATCGCCGAGGGTGCCAAGGCCATCGTGCCGCTGCACGCGGCGCCGCGGAGGAAGAGGAGGGTGCTCTTCTCCCAGGCGCAGGTCTACGAGCTGGAGCGGCGCTTCAAGCAGCAGAAGTACCTGTCGGCGCCGGAGCGGGAGCACCTGGCCAGCCTGATCCACCTGACCCCCACGCAGGTGAAGATCTGGTTCCAGAATCACCGCTACAAGATGAAGCGCCAGGCCAAGGACAAGGCGGCCGCCCAGCAGTTGCACCCCGACGGCGCCGGCGGCGGCGGCGGCTTGTGCCAGCAGCCTTCGCCGCGCCGCGTGGCCGTGCCGGTGCTGGTGAAGGACGGCAAACCCTGCCCGCCGCCTGGCAACGGCACCCCGGGCCCCGGGCCGGTCGCCCCCGCCGCCCCCGCGCCCGCCGCGCACCCGCACCCCGGCTCGCTGGGGCAGGCGGCCGACCTGGAGGAGCTGTCACCCAGCCCGCCGGCGCTGCACGGCCCCGTGGCTCCCCTGGCCCCCCTGGACTCGGCCGGCGTCGACTACAACGGCGGCATGGTCAGCCCCAACCTGCTCTACGGCAGGACGTGGTAATCGGTGCGTCCCGTGTGCGTTCCTCCGACAGCCCCGCTCCTCCGGCACCGGACGCATCGCCCTACCCGGTGCCCGCGGGGATCGCCGACGGCCGCCCCACCCCCGGTCCCCTCCCAGCCTCCCTTCGAGTTTTATTAAGTCTCTCCTGTTTTTGGACAAACGGCCCCGACGACAGCGCCGAGTGCTTGCGTGAGTGTGCGTCAGTGTGAGTGTGTGTGGGTGCTGGTGTGCACGCGTGTCCGGCCTCCGTGTCCCGGCCGCGGAGAGCTCCTCTGGACGGGGCAGGGGCGGCCAGGGCAGCGCGAGGCCGCGCTCCGGCCCGGCCCCTCTCCCCGGCGGTAGCGCAGTCCGGGAGCCCCGGCGCCTACCGCGACAGCTCCGCGGAGCGCCACAGTAAATCCTCAGAAGCGCAACTCATCTCGGCCGAATTAATTTCGTGGGGGTGCCCCGGAATGCCATTCCGTTCTTACCGCTATCTGAGGTAAATTGAGTCGCAGCTCAGTTGAGGCGGGAGCCGTGGCAGGAGAGCCCTGAAGCGCCGGTGCTCGGATTTAAGGGGAAAAACCCGTTTTTCTCGTTGTAATTAAATGCCGTGCAGTTAATGAATGTCCGTGCGTGGACGGGGCGCGCGTCCCGCGGAACCGCCTCAAGCCCCCGGCCCTTGGCTAAGCTCCTGACGATCTCAGAGCCCTGCGGAGGTGACGGAGAGCCCGGTGACTCTCGGGGCTGGATCCCGCTTCCTGCCGGGATCAGACCCCGCAGCAGCCGGTGCCGGAGGATGCGCTGCGCCGGAGCGGGGTTTATCCCCGCACCATTTTCCGAGGAAATCCCGCACGTCGGGAAACGCTCCTCGGGACTTTCCGGCAATTTTTCTTTCTTTTATTTTTTATTTTAATTTTATTTTAAACAATAAAAGGAAGACTTGTTCTCACGAGTCAGCTGCTTCATTCTCGGTGTATGGACTGAAGGACAACCTCAGAATCCCTTTTTCTACCTCCCTGTCGGCTGCCAAAAATTTAATTCTGTGCCCCCCTGCCTCTGCCAGGCTTTCCCATCCTTGGGGGACCCACTGAACCCCAACCCTGGCAGGGCTCCCCAGCCCCGGGGGCCGCTCCACTCCCAGCTGTGCCATGAAGGAACGATTCTGAGGTGGAAAATAGGGATTTTGGCCTCTGCAAGACCACAGACCCGCTCCCAGACCCCTCTCCAAGCCCTATGTAGGAACCTGGAGAGGAAGGAAATCTCCACCGTTCTTCTAGAAAGAGACTCCCTTCCCCTCCTGGCAGGTGCCACACGGGTACGACCCCCCCTGCCCCCCCAGCTCCCTTCCCTTTCCATGAGGGAGAATTTCTCCCTGCTGGGTCTCACGGGAAGCGGCTCAGTGTGTCTGGGGTGGGACTGAGCCCAGCCCAGTGAATGGTTTCCCCCTCAAATTCTCTTAAATCCAAGGGGCTATATAGGGCTCAGCCCCAGACTGGGGGAAAAAAATGTATCTGTCAGAAAAACAGCCTGAGGAGCCCCACAGGATTGCTGTCCCAGGGTGACTCCCAGGCCCTCCAGCACCTGGAGGCACACGCAACTGAAGCAGAGCCCCAGGAAGGATGGTGCTGCCCGGCCAGGTCCTGCATCTCAGCCCTGCATCAGAGCCGAGGAAACTAAGCCAGTGTGCTGCTTTGAGCATCGCTCTGAGGGTCCAAGTGGGCAGCGCAGCTCCCAGGGCCCAGGCTGGCTCCACTTGGGATCAGACTGCAAGGGGGTGAAGGGTTGGGCAAGGTGAAGCCTGCAGGGATGAGCCTTTCCCACAGCAGCCCCACAAATGTTTACCCAGACTTTTTGTGCCCCAAAAAATGGGAGCAAGGGACAAAGACAACAGCCCCCAGGTCCATCCTTCTTTGGAACATAGGTGACCCACCCCACTCCCTCCTCCAGCCCATTCCCATGAAAATGCACCCTCAGAGCTGGTTTTGTCCTGCTGGAAAAGCAAAATGGTTCTTTTAGAGCATCCCAGTCCTTTCCCAGCCACGGGAGAAGGTCCTGGGGAGGGCTGGCGGCTCCTAGCCCATGAACACTGCATCACAATGAAGGATTCTGCTCCACCTTCCATCACTTGAAAATAATGAAGCCAGGCTGATGATTTCTTCCTTCCAAGGTTAAACGGGGCTGTCAAGGCTTTCCCCCCAGTTGCTAGTGATTAATACCTGGATGACTGGAAAGAAGGGAGCATCAAGGAGTCGGGGCAAGAGTGGGGCTGGGAACTTTACTGATTTACAGAATACCTGGATTTAGTGGAAAAGTCCAAAGGGAAAGCTGAACTAGATGCTCTCCTCAGTTTCCCTTTTTTTTTTTTTTTTAATTAAACAAAGATTTTAAATGCTAGAGGTTGGGAGGAATTGCTTTCCAATAAATCAACAGGAATGTGTGTACACAGGTAAAAGATACAAACAGGCTCTGGAGGGGGCTGGAAATTAACCAAACGCCACTGCTCGGAATTTCAAAAGCCACTTTATAAAGCAAATAAAAATATTTACTGATTTGGTACACTCACACAGAAAATCCCTAGAAAGACTGCTAAAAACTAATGGAATTTCTGCCCTTTGCAGCCATTTAAAATTAGGTATCAAACAGACAAACCCACGGCCCCTGCCTGGTTATGCCACGACAAAACCCATGCCAGAAACAGGCATACATAAAAAAATTTGAAATGTTTTACTTCAGAGTCCAAAAAACCGAAGGAAGCACCTGCCAAGGAGCAGCGAGGGCTGTGTCTTTCTGTGCCACCGGCCGCCTGCTGGGTCTGGCCTCAGAGTTCATAAAATCCCATTTCTGGGCATTCTTTCCAACTCTGTGTCTGTTTTCAGGCTCTTGTATGTGGAGTAGAGGATGTTTGGAGTTCAGATGTTCAGGCAGTGCTCGGCACAGCGTGGATATGTAAGGACAACGCAGCACTCCCACCTCGTCTGACAGCAATCCGCTCCTTCCAGTCCCTCCCAAGAAATCATCATCAGGTCCATAAGAAATGTGCACATTGAAAACAGGCATCTGTTTAAAAACTACAAGGACGGTGCTTAACAGCTTCATTTTTCCTCCCCCCTTGCCCCACAAATAATAAAAAGAAAATAAGCAAAAAAACCCAGATGTTTTCCATGTTAAAAAAAAAACAGGAGGCAGGAGCTAATTCCAGCTGTACCTTCCTGCAGGAGGTGGGAACGGGTAGGGCCTCCCGGGGCCATACACCTGCAAACAAACAAACAAAAGCAAGCATTTATTTTTGGGATTAGCAGCACAAGTGGGGTGAGCTCGAGGCGCCATACGGAACAGGGACAAAACATCCTCTGCACGGAGAGGTGCCAGGGGCAGGGCTAAGCATCCCTCACCCGGCTGTGGAGTCTCTAACAAACACGGGCTGGGGCTGGATCCCCTGGTGCAGAGCAGAGCTGCACAGCACCAGCTTTGGAATCCCAAATAAATCCACCCCCAGCCAGCATCGCGGGCAAGGGTCTTCCCACATATGACACCTCTGCTGTGCTCTGTCTGCAGCAAAGAGACAAATGTTGGAGCCAGGGACATGGGGCAGCTCACACTCAGCATTTTTACACAGAAGTATTTTAAGGAAAAACGAAAGCTGTATTTGTTGCAGAAGAGGTGCTTTCCAGCACTTATTTGCCCTAATAAGAGGTCAAAGAGATCCAA